AAAAATAAAACAACAATTTAAAATTGCAACAACATTCATAACTTAGAATGGGGCTGGATAATTCAACAGCCCTAGGCCTGCCGGAACAGCCAGGTCTTGGTCGCTTTACGGAAGGCTGGAAGGGGTAGTAAGGGTCCGGATCTCGACGGGGAGATCGTTCCAGAGGGCCGGAGCAGCTACAGAGAAGGCCCTCCCCTGGGGGGGGGGGGTCACCAGCCGACATTGACCGACAAATTATATAATAATATTATATTATAATTTAATAATATAGTAGCCCAAACATAATAGTCCATTAAAATTATGTACAAAATGTGAATTGTTTTGGTTTGTAATTGTAAGTTTTTTTTAAAAAAATATATCAAAACTGTAGCTGATTATGGATCTTAACTGATTTGCTTCTCTATTCTTTTTTCAAAACCTATGTTTGATGAACCAGTAAATTATTCATAGTTATACTAGCAATAATGAAAGAATGAAGAGTACTTGGGTGATAACACAATATATTTTAATTTTAATTCAAAAGGCATTCAAATTTAAATTTTAGAATTATCTAAAATATTTAGACATGTTTAAAAAAGTATGCACCTATAACATTAAGTTATGTGAATAATCTTTTTTTTTCTACAGGATCAGTTGGTAGTAAATATTGAAACTATAAGGGCTGAAAATGACCAATTGAGGATCAGACCCCCTGCCCTTCATCATAGGTATAATTATTAGTGAAAATAGTTCTGCATTCAAGATGTGCTAAATTAATTCATTTCACTGTCAACGACTAACTTTAGGACAGTAATTATTAATGCATCTGTTTTCATTTCAGAGGGCCACATTTAGGTAGCGTACCAGATTTTAGATATCCACTGGCACCTTCAGTTATAGCAGACAATCAGACAGATTCCTACAGCACCTCAGTTCTAAGACGTCCACAGAAAGGACGCTTAGCAGCTCTGCGAGATGAGCCTTCAAGGGTAAGTTGGAATTTAAGCAATTAATTTTGAAAATAGTTTAAGCTAGTGTACCATTTTAAATATACTTATTTATTAATTTAACTTCAAGTCACTCTTGTCCCCTATCAACTACATGGAGAAATCTATGCAGTTTTCCAGGTAATGTTTTCAAAAGTAATTTGCCTTTGTTGTCTTCCTAGGGCTAAGAGACTGGCTCAGAATCACTCATTTGGTTTCTTTGCCTGAAGCAGGACTAGGCTTCCCTGCTCCTAGTCTATTGCATTAACCATTAGACTAAACTGGTTCAGTTTATTGAGCCGAGGTGGCATAGTGGTTATAGTGCAGTACTGCAGGCTATTTCAGCTGACTGTTAGCTACAGTGCGGCAGTTCAAATCTCACTGGCTCAAGGTTGACTCAGCCTTCCATCCTTCCGAGGTGGTTAAATGAGGACCCAGATTGTTGGGGGCAATATGCTGACTCTGTAAACCACTTAGAGAGAGCTATAAAAGCACTACGGAGCGATATATAAGTGCTATTGCTATTGCTATATAAGTCTTCAAAGATTTGCCTGCTTTTTATCTGGTCTAAAACTGTGCTAATACCATTATGTATAGGTGGCTTGGGCTGTGCTATTGTTGCCTTTATTGTTTTATATTGGGGAAGGGTGTTTACCCTGAAATATCTTTATTTTAAAGTAAGCAACATTCCATGTAGCTTGTTTTGCTACATGATTGAAAACTATGTAGTTCTGTATTTAAATACCTGCATTTGAAGCAGCTGTTATAAGCAAGTCTTGATGCAGGAGGCAGATAGGAATATGAATTGCAAAATATAACCTTAGCAAAAGGACAGTTGTGCAGAGTTCAATGCATGTATATGTTTATATTCATACATTGATTCATGAACTAAATAAGGCTATTCATTACTTACAATACTTCAGTAACTCAGAATGCATTGTACTAAGTATGCAAAATTAATCTTCATTCAGTCCACCTACAGAAGTAAGATTTATGTGGAATGTTTCCTGTACCCAGCCCCCAGAGTTGGGCAGCTGGTTTTAAATACTTGAATTGGCACTTTGTATGTAGCATTAAACAGATAAGACAGTTGATTTCAGCATTGCTTACTGGGAAACTAGAAACAGAGATATTTTAGTTTACGATGGTTCTCCTCCATCTGCTATTTTGTTTCTTTCATTTATATCCTGCTTTTTCTCCAGGAGCTCAAGGCAGCTTACATAGCACTCTCTCCTACTGTTATTCCACAAGAACAGCCCGGTATGATAGGTTGGGCTGAGACATATAGTGATTGGCCCAAAATCACCCAGTGAGCTTCCATGACTGTGGGTAGAATTGAATCTGATCTCCCAGGTACTATTCCAACAGCTTCACCAGTGCATCAAAAAGTATTTGCATAGAGAATGGATCTAGACTTACTATTTCACAAGTTAAAACTATTTCCCTTTGTGGAATAGAGTCAGACCCAGCCTTGCTCCTGCTAGATGATAGAAAAGGGTTGGTACTTGCAAATTCCCCATTCCCTCCACAGCACCTCCCACATTGTTTTGAAAGACCAGGCTATTTTTAAGTCTCATAGAATTGGAAGAATTACTAAAATTATCCCCCATTTCTGTTGCTCTTAAATGAAATTTGATTAGGGAAATCTGGATCCAGCCTGTATGCTGTGTTCACATAAACTGGGATTCTAATGGATCCTGGTTTATTAAGACCAAGTTGTATGTGTAGTTTATTGAGTAAATCATCTAATTCTACTTGGTTCCTTTCTTTATAGCCTGGGTTATAAACTAAAGCTTGTGTTGTCTTATGAATTCTGCCTGATAAAGGAGGAAAAAAACAGGATTGGGGCAATAGTTGACACACTAGGTGTTTCTTAGCAGGATTAACCAAACGGGAATCAAAGGACAGTTTCCACTGGTATATGATTTATTTTCAGTTAAAGAAAGATACTCTAGAATCCTTTGCTATTAGTCTGTATAGATTTACGACATATACAGAAGTTTTTAAATGAGTCTTATTTATTGTTATTTTGTCATGTTGAAATTATATATTTAATTTCTTGGGTTTTGATCATAAAGTATGTCCAATGAATATAATCTAATAATGTTTGTTTTGCTTTTACTGCATTCTAAATACTGCTGTTGTGATTGATTTCTGCAGCATGTAAGTGAAGTTATACGATCTTTTTTTTTTTTTTAAATGAAAGAGATACTTAATATTACAGCTGTAATCATATATATTAAACAGGTTCAGACTCTTAATGAGCAAGATTGGGAACGTGCACAACAAGCAAGTGTGCTGGCAAATGTTGCGCAAGCTTTTGAGAGTGATGCTGATATCTCAGATGGCGAAGAGGACAGAGAAACTATATTCAGCTCAGTTGATCTCTTATCACCTAGTGGTCAGGCAGATGCCCAGACCTTAGCCATGATGCTTCAGGAACAATTGGATGCCATCAATAAAGAAATTAGGTACAGGATTTATTTTTGTCATTGTTTTTCAGTGTTACATTTAAAGTTTACTAATGGCCTTTTATTCACATAAAAGTAGAAGTCTAGCTTCTCTTCATTGGTTTGACCTGTAGGTGCAACTAAAAATATTAAACCCCATTCTATTGAGGGGAGGGGGATTCCAGAAGAGAGTTGCTGTGTGAAAGAAGGCTTGTCTCCTGGGACTTGCCAAATGTAATTCACTGATAAGACATAACTACAGTGTGCCCTCTTTGCCAGATCTGATGGGGTGGGCAGATGTAAAATTTTTTTGGGGGGGGGCGGGCTCAGGTAACCCAGCCCACACCATGAATTTTATTAGAAATATACAAACTAAATTAATATTGTATGGGTTGAAATTGATGAGATGAGTTTTAGCTATCAGTAATTTTTTGTGTGTGTTTTTGCTTACCAATTCATTATACCTAGCATACTGAAAAAAACAGGAAGCTCAAGGCAATGATCTCGGCAAAGAAACTTATTTTCTGTTGGATAGAATTAG